ATGTCATAGAGTCATAATTTTACATGTATCATACCACGTTTAGCTTTGTTACATCATATCAATGTAATGGGTAAATGCTGTCAAAGAATTATAAATTTTTATATAAACAGCAATGCATGGCATAGTTTCATAGTTTTCCCAATGTCCTTACAACATCAACCAAAGAAAAGCATGTGTGCAATTAAAAGAGGCTAAGCGAGGCTTAGAAACTGCAATTAAATATATTGAACAGCAGTCAGATGGTGTAGGAATTGACTTTAGTGATTTGCATATTTTTCATAAATACTTAAATTTGCTGGGTCTCAAAGAACTTGAATCAAAATGTCAACAAAAAATTGATAATTATTTTATGAAACAACTTTAGCTTATACATTATAACTTTGTACCAAGCTAATCTTATTAAATAAATATTTTGAAAAATTTACATTTGGTTCATCACATGACTACAGGTCAACCTCCTATACAGTCACCCCTCCTTAGAGTCACTGGTTTTGGTCATTCCCAACAGTGTGACTGTATGGGAGGTCGACTGTATATGTTTGATGGAACTACTAGAGTTAGGGTCACTTTTGATGCATATGCATGTTCACATTATGCAAATAGCTAATAGGTCCCACTAAAGGACTGGGACTCCTTTATGCAAATGAACAGATTATGCAAATAGATGGTATGCAAATAGACAGGTGTGACTGTAATGATTACGCACTTGTGCTCATGTTACTCAGTGCAAAGCGACCCACTCCAGCTGTCACTTTTACCTAAAACCAGAAGCTGAGTTTACTACAATGAACTCTTTTGAATTATTGTACAACAAAATAGGTAAATTGTGGGTGTATGGGACATTCAATCACATTATTGTTCACTAATTAATGGATTGTGCAAGGCATATTAATATACAGATGCTGGCTGGGCATGGCTGTCTGACTTATTGAGGCCTGGGTACTATACAAATCAGGTATTATGTTATCATGTGACTTGAAGCAATATTATAGCAAGGCTGCTGAAACAGATAATGATGATTTTTTTGTATGCAGCAAGTACATAGTCTCATGGAATCGACTTAGGAGCATGTGGACTGTTTATTTCGAATTACAAGAAGAATTTCCAGAGGGCATTGGAGTTAAAAGAATAAGAGAATCCTTGTAAAATTGTTGAAAAAACGAAAGGAAAATACCAATTGGGATGTACTTCTGGAATCCTGGATGTCACCTATGGAGCAAACAAACTAAATCCTGTTGAAGCAGACTTTCCTGAACTAGACAATATACCTATGCAAGATTATCATTAAGAGAAGCTGCAAAATGCAAAGCGTCGTTGATGTAGACAGACAAAGTAAAAGTGTATGTGTCAAAGTGCATGTCTTGTAGAAAAGCTCAACAGAAATGTAACATACATTGTCAAGTTCCAACAGTCAGAATTCTTAAGCAATGTAAATGATACTGTGATTGAAATTTACGTAATGTAATAATAAAGTGTTCATCCTTCTTATCTGGGGTAAATAATGCTTGGGGTTACGCAAATTATATATATAAATTGCGTTCTGGGGTGAGCTGCCACAAATTATATATTTACATTCTTTGACTCTTTTGGTTACAATTATGTCAAAGTAATGAAACGTGAATTAAAGCTCAACGAATACACTCGCTCAAGTAGTCTTTTATCAACAACAAATTGACGACTATAATTTCGGTAATAGGCTACTCGATCAGCGGAGGCCTTGGTTCGAAGCTTTTACGTTAAACTGCTTTCCTTACGTTTATTAAAGTTTTCGTTTCTTTCTTGGTTCATCATAAGTTGGGGTTAATGCTTGTTTATTGTTTATTAATTTTCGTTCTTCTTGGTAAATTTCATAAGTGAATTTTCTTTATCTAGATAAATTTGATGTCATTTATTTTAAAAACATAAGGTGCAATTTTCTCTCCTTGTTCTTTTTTTAAAATGCTTCTAATAGTGCTGTAATTCTTTGGTTCCATGGTGATTTGATGTAAATTAATTTCATATTTATATTTTTATAGATAGAGGTAATCCTATATTAAACATATTGTGATTTAAGTAAAGTCTATCTTAATCAACTTGAATGTTAATTATATTTTGGCATGATATAACTTAAAACTGTAATTTACATAAATTTGTACATGAGTTACAACTGTGATAATCAAAAATGCCATGAGTCAAATTAGTTAACTTTCAGCCACACCAGTCTCTCATTTATGTCACATAATAGAATACTCACTTTGTTTGGTTTTGTTGCAGTCTGCCCCATATGATAGAGTTGAGGAGTCGCGTAAGAGGAAGGATCGTCTTATGTTTTTTATTTCTTTTTTAATATTTACTCGTAAGAAATTATTTTTCCTATTCGAATTGTTGATTTTCCTTTCCCAGTCATAGTAATGAATTGTATATTTTAAATTCCTCATTATCCAAATAATCTCTAAGTTAGAAATCTCTTGTGTTTTTCGTAAATTAACCTTGTTATAATAATAATAATAGTTCTAATTTTACTACAAACATTATTCTCAGAAGTTAAATAATTTGAGATTCATTTTCAGCATATAGAATTACTGATTTTGAAAAACCATTCTTTGATACAATACATCCTAATTGATTTGTATTTGTTAGCGTTCCTTTTAATTGTCTAACAATTCCAACTGAAACTTCTTTTTGAAGACATTTACATTGGATAAGAATTGGTATTTCATGAAACGATGCATATATATCAATTCCTCCGTCGCCAGTAAATTCAGTCCAATTAGTTAAAAAACGATGTGTCGAGGTACGCGATAAAGTTGCACGAATCCCGCATAATATTATCCTATCATCATTTGTTATTCGTACTGAGACGTTGACTATTACTCCCTCGGATTTTCTGTACATTCTCAGTCTAATGCTAACATTTTTTCAATCGCGTGTTGCACTTGGTTTGAAGGAAATTTTTAACGATGATATATATTTAATATAGCAGAAGAGCAAATTTCGGGTCGGTAATTTATTATGATCAGAGGGTCGTATTGTTTATTTCTCAGATAATCAATTAAACCTAATATGTCTGTACTAAATAATTGGCGAATATATAATTACAGATTTATCTCTATAATAATAATAATAGCGATAACAAAATTTTACAAATAAACTTTAATTTGGTGCTGAGAAGAAAACTGAGTGTGTACATAAATACCAATACATGATATTAAGTACGATTTTGAGTTTGCATATAACGATCTGCTTATTTTTCGAAAACGCGAAATCGATCAAGCCAATCGGTATATTAATCGTACTTAATATTCTGGGTCAACTCATTGCACACACGTTGGCAACAGTTACGCTTAACAAACATATAAGCTTCATGAGCATTGGATTCTTGGTTGTTGACTTAGTGCTGATTGACAACGTAAATTGATTTCACGTTTTCGAGATCATTATAATATACATATTGTATACAGTATATATATACCATACGTCCCCAATTTCTCAATACCTTGTGTTATAGCATGAAGGCTAGTTGCTAGTCGTGTGGGTATGTATTTAACATTCGAATGCATGTTACACAGGAAACGTATCATAGGAGATTGCATTTTTAGTTAGTCACCGAACATTTCACGGGACTTGCTGTTGAAGGCAAATCAGCTATCATGCCTTTTCAAAACTGAATATGATAAGTATCCTGACAAGAACAAATATTAATATGTTTTCATCATTTCTACAGATTATAAAGGTTATGGTGATGCTGACCTGTGGCCAGAATAATGAGATTTTGATAACTCATTAGAATCTGCTGGCACTACCCAAATAATGTCAAAAATTCCCTTTTTTGAGCTATTTCTTTTTCAACAAACGCAATAATTATTAGGCTTAACTATAATATTTCCCCGAAATTTCTTAAAAGAAGTATTAAATTTACTGATTTTGTATATATCTGCAGATAGCGTTTGCTAACAACCAGACGACGGTGTACCGTTCAACTCCTCAATAAATAATATCACGGGCGTCGGCATACAAACGTAAAATGCAGGTAGAATGGATCTATATCGCTTGATTAATAACACCTGGGAAATACACTAGCGTCATGTCCACTTGTTGGAACGGGTTCTAGAAAATCGAACAGAAAAGACAATAGCGCAAAAAAAACAAAAAAAAAAAAACAAACGAACAGCGCTTGAGATTCGCGAATACAACCAATACGTCAACAACTGGTGAAATCCAGTAGTAGTAGGAACAGAGAGCACATTGCGTCGTTTGGGAAAAAAGACGCGTTCTTGGGCAAAGGCTCATGTGACATTATTCTTGACTACCAAGCCACAAGACGTTCATTTCATTTTGCAGTTTTGTCCCATATAACGACATAATATGTGATACAAAGTCATACTATCATTTGAGTTGTGCAACTATTCGGAAGTTTTGCATTATTACGCCCCAGCCACCAAACCCAAAGGGCTAATTTCCAATTTGCCACCACTGTGTTGGTATATAACGATCTGTATTATATCAAAGGTTCCCCTAGTTTAATTTTTTTTTCTCCAACAACTCTGCGAAAAAAAGACTTATTTCGCAATCCACAGACAATAGCAATACTAGAGTCAAGAAAATAACTTCTCATCAGAACAGCAACAGCAACCCTGTCTACCAAAATACCAAATACTCTTTGAAAATGTCCATGTCAAATCAACACCATGAAGACGGAAAATCGGTTTGGAAAACACCTCTCACGTAAGTGTCTATACTTGAAGTACGTAATTCCCGGGGCATGTAAAGTAACATTGAAAGAAACCAACGACCAAGTGAGCAAAATGATAATACAACAGTTAGAGAGACACATCGTTTAGATTCAAGTGACAAGAGTCTCTGCTATCAAAAATAACCAAATGAGCTGTGTCAAATTTATTACTTCACTTATTTGTGAAATAGAATAGTGAAGGGAAACTACTACATATGCGCCCGCCTACAAGACAGTAACAAGCATAAGCATTGCTCATCATACAAGACTAAGCATTATCAATTCATTAATGAACAGTCATGAAAACGATAATTGGAAGAAGAATCTACGGCTCCCACCAAAAGATTATCGACCGCAAACAGAGGTAATTTTAAGAAACACGGCAACTCTACAATCATAGTTATACATGTGCAAAAGTTTTATTAACATCATCGATATATCGTATTGTCATACGCTCGCGTACATCTATTGCCCAGGATGTTACTGCCACAAAAGGAAACGAATTCGAAGACTACTTTCTCAAACGCGAACTGCTCATGGGCATATTTGAAGCAGGCTTCGAGCGCCCATCACCAATCCAAGAAGAATCCATACCAATCGCACTAACCGGCCGTGACATTCTTGCACGGGCTAAGAATGGAACCGGCAAGACGGCTGCCTTTGTAATTCCAAGCTTAGAAAAGATATATGTTAAAAAGAACAAAATCCAGGCGCTCCTTCTCGTACCGACAAGAGAACTTGCACTACAAACATCTCAAGTGTGTAAAACTCTCGGAAAACATATGGGGGTACAAGTGATGGTGACAACGGGAGGCACAACATTAAAAGACGATATTCTCCGTTTATCAGAAACCGTGCATGTACTTGTTGGTACGCCTGGTCGTATTTTGGATCTTGCTGGAAAGGGCGTGGCAGATTTCAGTGAATGTCCGACATTCGTTATGGATGAAGCGGATAAGTTGTTAAGTCCAGAGTTCTCGCCAATTGTCGAGCAGTTATTGACGTATTTCCCGGAAGACAGACAAATAATGTTGTACAGCGCTACTTTCCCTTTGATTGTGAAGAATTTCAAGGTGAGTGACAGGAAGTGAGCTTATGACGAGAGTATTGAACTATTTTATAGTAGCAGGAGTAGTTAGCTTATAAATATGTCTTTTGTTCTTGCACAAAGGTATCTGCGGGTTTTCCTTATCACAAAGTAATATTAATCTTATAATACCATTTTATATATATTAGGAAAGATATCTTGTAAAGCCATACGAAATTAACTTAATGGACGAGCTCACTCTTCGTGGTGTCACACAATATTATGCCTTTGTTATGGAACGACAGAAAGTGCACTGTTTGAATACGCTCTTTTCCAAGGTTTGTTTATAACTTGGCTGCATTATTTGGATATTTTAACACCCCCCCCAATAATATCTAACCACATCTACATATTTAGTTGCAAATTAACCAATCAATTATCTTCTGCAATTCAACAAACCGTGTCGAGCTTCTTGCTAAGAAGATAACGGAACTTGGATACTCTTGCTTTTACAGCCACGCTAAGATGTTACAAAGTCACCGCAATCGAGTTTTCCATGATTTTAGAAATGGTGTATGTCGAAACTTAGTATGTTCAGGTAAGGAGAGATTACGTCGAGTTATCTATGGTTTGGAGCGGTCTAATTTAAATTAACCGATACCGTATCGTTCGATCATTATAACAGATCTCTTAACACGTGGTATCGATATTCAAGCAGTGAATGTCGTAATCAACTTTGATTTCCCTAAAAACGCAGAAACATATCTTCACCGGATCGGTCGATCCGGCCGTTATGGTCATCTCGGTCTAGCAATTAATCTGGTAACTTATGAAGACCGTTTCAATCTCTATAAAATTGAACAGGAACTCGGAACTGAGATTCAGCCCATTCCACCAGTTATTGATAAAAGATTGTATGTTGCACCTAGTGCTCTTGATGATGCTCAGCCTTTACTTCAGCAACAAATGCAACAGCAACAGCAGCAACAACAACAACAACAACAACAGCAGCAGCAACAGCAACAGCAGAATAATCAGAATCAAAACAGCCGTGGCCAGCCCTCACGTAATGCTTCTAACAGTAACATGAGAACTTCAACTCCTGGACGATCTGGAGGTGTCAGTGTTAAAGCCGCCTCTTAAAACAAGAGAGTTTCAAAGCTGATTGAAAGCATGTGATACAAGATATTGAAAGACCTCATTCGAACGCCCAGTTGTAACATAATAGTAATAGGAATAAATTCATTTTGATTGCCGGGAATTCTTACTATCTTGATAATTTACTCACCAAAATTAATTTACCTGTAGTTGGTACAATAGTTTCGTAGACGTGGGGGTAATAGTGTTAAAGAATCGTAATTTATTATGAGTTTAAGAACAGACAGTTCGCTAGGTAATTCAGATAGGATAAATTGAGAGACTTTTACTTATCTAATTCAATCATGTATGTTCTGGCCGTATTGAAATCGTGTAGCACAAGAATGGCCATCAAACACTGTGTTCGAATAATCACATTGACCTGCATTGATAATTCAAAATGCTACGTGATGTCTGTTCCAAATCACATGTGCCAATAAATAGCTTTGATCGACACAAATACTAATTCTGGCTGTTATAATATAGGCTGCCTTCGTACGAGTACTCTCAACTGCAACTTGGAATGGTGTAAAGGGCTCGACGCTGCCATCGTGCATGTATGGCGAAGAGCATTTATTGTCTGAATTGGTAGGCATCAGACTGTTTAGTCGTGATCCTACCGGGCCTGCCAGAAACTTTATTTGTAGCGCTGTGCTTGCGGATATATTGCTTAAGCTTTATCAGACCTGTCTTCTTTTTGGATTTAACATTAATTGTTGGAGATGATTCTAAAAGTGTAACTGGCGTTGGGAATAAGATCGTAAATACAAGGATGATGTTTAATGAGAATTTTCAAGTTTAGAATTTTCTCAAGTAAAATGAACGCGCTCTATTAATCAATATGAAAACGATGTGCTCGGTATTATACATTCTGGGTCTCTCTTAACGTTTGATATCACTATACTTTGTCTTCTTGATAATAAGTAATGAGGTAAGCTAACACGTCCGATAACGTTTATCAGCAGGGACCGGATTTGTTGAAATATTACACAAACGGTCAGCCGTCTTTAAAAGCGACATTATGCACACTCTGTTTTTACAAATTTAGACTGCTGGCAGTGCTCCTGTCAGTTACGCTATTTGAATAAATTCCTATAACCGGTAAATCAAGTAGCAATAATAAGTTACTTCTTATTCAGATGGTAATATTTGATCACGGAATATGCTTGTATTCATGCAGTTGGTATTTATGATTATTAGTGGTGGTTTACACCAACAATCGAGTCAAGGTATTGTTCCATTGTGAAAGTGAATTATGCATTTATATGTGATGGTAAACGTGTCGCATGCCGTGTTACAGCAGGAATGGCGAATTCTTTTTTGAAATACATTTCAGGCTTAACCAATGTAACACAGAGGTTACATCGAAGAATGGACAATTGTAGAAATATTAATAAGGCGGCGGATCATTTTATGCTTATAGCCCATTATGAGAGTCTGTGGAACAAACACGCTGAAACAAGCTGTTGGTGCAAACGTATTCCCTAATAATGTATATTAATATTAGAAGCAAAGTTTGAAAATCAACATGGATTCTTGCAAAGGAGCATTGTGTAAAATGGATAAGTCTAAGGCTTTTTGCATAAAGACGAAGTTTCTTTATTCGAACAAGAAAATCATACATCTATATAATAATATTATTGCCTGCGTCAACTTTTGAAACTGAAATCAAATGCTGGTGAAATAATTTTTTTTTCGGTATAAGCACAGAGTCAGAACGGTTTACGAGTCTCATGAGCCAAACAATGACGAATTAGAAACGTCAGTGAAACTTTTTAAACATCGCTCTGCTCGTTTGCAAACGTTGAAGAATCAGAAGCTCAGTACGCAAGCAATGGAGAATGTGTTATCACCCGTGAGTTTGGTCAGGTCATATTTTTCGTAGAAATAATTAGTAAATATTATTATATAACAGCAGCTTAATTAGTTAAGATGATTTTATGAATTCACAATGTTCCTTAACATTACACGTAATGCAGTAGCTGTTGGTGAAATGAGAAATATGCAATAAATACATAATCTGCCAAGATTCATGTTATAATGCAAATAAACGTTCAGTTTCTCAGTCAAAGCAGCAGCTATCAGGGCCCTCAAGAAGAGAACAAATAGCGATAGAGGAATAAACACTAGCACCAATTTGTTTAAAGGGCATCCACATCAAATCCAACTGCATATCTCCGACGCGCTCAACCTCAAGGCTGCATACAGTAAATCAATCTGCTAGACAACAATGTGAAAGGTGAATGTCTGCATCCCACCTGAGATTCCACTGCAAAAATTTATGAATGTGAATAATGGTCATAGTGTACGTACTATACGGATTTATAGTCGTACAAATTTATTTCCTGCATCCTAATTATTGTTTTTATTCATGAATTATTACATGTTCAGCGTTTTAGGTAGGTAGGAAGGAAACGTAATAGGGTATTGAGTCTCCGCCTTGAACATTACATAATGTACATCGTTTGCTTCATACAGGACGATTCTTTTCGGAAGCTCACATTTTCCCTAGGGTCACCATGTGCGCCTAAATAAAGACCTCGAAAACTCACATTTCCCCTGCCTTATATCGGCATAGTAAGTTCCATTGCGTTTTTATGATTCGTTGGCTTGAACACACGCTTCAAGGCTGGCACTATTCTACCAATGTTTCATTTGGGGAGTCTACTCTTCCCGTATATCGGATAGTTCTTGCTTACAACATCTGGTTTACCGATCATCCGATCGAGAGTGAGATCAGGAAACTGAGAAAATTATTGGTGGTCATGGGGCAGATGTAATAGAATATTGTATTGAGACGCAGATTCTTGGCAAATATTACACATTCAATTTGTGGAGGTTTGTAAAAAAAAACACTCGTCATTGTTGATGCGTATATTGGTCGATTCGGGATGGTTGACTATATCTCTTCCGTATAGGCATCTTACGGTACAATTTCGGACACAGAAAATCCGGGTACTCGTGACTAATCATCCACCGTTAGCATTCTGTCATCTGAAGAAAGTATTCCAGATTTTCTTGTTGCAAGTAAATACTTAGGCTGTAATATAATGTGCTGCAGCAGAGATCAAGCAATAGAATTCTTTGATGTTGAAATAATTTCCAGGTAGACTATAAACGTCAGTCTTATAGTAATTAGCAATAGAAAGTTTTCCAATCTATTGGATTAAAAAAGACGTTTACCGGCTAGTATCTCCAGTTTCAATAATGTGCTAGGCACAATCAAAACTGGACTCTGATTATTATTCGAGAATAGAAGGCCGATACCAATGACAACGGGTACAGTATATTGGATAATAACATATATATCTCAGCTGAAGTTGTCTCCGGTATATTGGGCAAAGGGAAGGTGAAGAGTGAAAGTTTAATAGACGAAGATGATGACATCGAGTTGTCAATTAGTATTAGACCAATTTGAAACTAATTAATGATCAGCAATGCAACAGATGACTGATTGCATAGGCTTAATAAGAAAATCGATAATTTCTTCGCTCTGTCTAACTATAAATTATCTCAATTTACGGTCGCAAACTTTTAAGTCTAATTTATTATTGATTGCTCTCCTGCGCGTTGCTAATACGACAGAATGGACTCGGGCTTGACTCTTTTTATAACTAACGGACGTGGCATACTGTACATTAAGCAATTAAAACGGAGAATATAGCATACAAGATTGATGACTGTTCGAGAATTTATTCATAATGATTCTTTATTTCTTATTACATTTGCATCTACTCTACGTTCCTAATTAGTGATAAATCCGTAAATCGATTAGTATAGTTTATGGCAAAAATAATATAATATTATTATCATTTACCGCGTTAATCCATAGAACAAGCGTCGTTGGCGAAGTGTAAAACGCTTTCCCGTAGTATCTTCTGGCGCTAATAAACGTAAATTGATTAGTAGTTCATGGCAAAGGAAACTACCGCATGGGGAACAACTCACCCGCATGACAAAGTAAACTGCCGCATGGCGTAAATAGTATTCCCGTACGCAGGTATGAAGTATCCGCTATC